GTTACGATAATTAAGTTTATTGTCACTCGTTATCGTCGTTCGCGAATCCTTTTCAAAGGACCGCGCCGCGCGATGGGACGCGGCCCTCTCGCTCGCTCGCATTAAAAAGTTTGCTCCTCGCGAGAGCCTCGCTTCGGAATTCATTCTCCTTCTCCCGGTCCTGGGCCGGGTTTTATTTTATACGGGACTTTAAGCGCGACGACGACACAAAGTTTCCTGTTGAAAAGGGGCGGCGAGCCGCTGCGCGAAAACGCCGCCCCGCCGGATCCTTTTTAAATTCGAAAACTTTGACCGAGAAGGAAAAATTTGCCTCGGCCCCCGAGCCTTGTTCCGGCACGGGGGCGGGCAGCCGGCTAATTCCGAGCTGAAAAGGTTAATGAAATTCTTCCCGAGGAACATTTTCGAGAACGCGGCGGGCGCGCGATGAATATGCGACCGTCGCGATTCCATTCAGAAGTTGCCGCTTCCAGCCGCGGACTGAAAGGTCGCGTGCTTGTTTCTCTGTTTTCCTTTTTCCCCGCCGGGCAAGACGCAATTTTCTTTCGCCGCGTCCGATAACCGGTGCGCCGCGGCGCCGCGCCACGTTGTATTTGCATGCCGGAAAAACTTGCCAGAATTTGTCAGATATTCCGCGCTGACGAAAATTTCAGCGATCATAAAAGTTTAAAGAGCTTCCCGGGGAAGTTTCGGGCTCATTCTTGTCACCGGTGACGACTTCGTCTTCTATTTATTTCTTCGTCTTCCGCTTCTTGCCGCTCGGTTTCTTTCCGGTCGGCTATCTTCGCGTGTAACTCGCTTTGGATAGCGGAACGATAAAAGTCTACGGCGTTAGGAAAATATTTTGAAGTTGAATATTTCTTTGGGAACTACTTCGTACTGTGTATTATGAATTCGGGTTGGAGAGAGCACAAGGGGAAATACATCCATATTGATATTATCAGATAAATGAAAGTGTAAAAGTTTACGTTGCGACTCGTTCAAGTGAAAGGAACGACTCAACTTACATTGACAATTATTGTAAAATTGTGATTAAGTTACAAGCTTAACACTAGAACTACCGTACCAGTCAAAATGACTGGTTTCGATTTTTTAGCAATTATTGATATCTTCGAAGCATCGAACATTCGAAATGATTTTGAAAATAAATAGCTTCATTTGAGTACTATAACGAATGTCCGAAGAAACTGAAAATAATCTATTGTCACAATTTTTCTGGGAATTGTATATTGATCGTATTAAATGCTCGGTAGTTCTAGTGTTAATTCCAACATGGAACTTTATGAAAAATATGGTCGAACTATACTGCACTGTAGTATGCAATTTACATTACAAAGTTCCCAATTTTCCAGCAAAACCTAGCGTTCCCTTATTTCTTTTTCAATTAATTCGCGGCCACGCGACTGCCGCATAGGTGCGAATCGCAGAACTTTTCCTCGCGTGTCCCCCCAATTACCGGCGGTCTTTCAGGCTTTCTGTGTACACGCGCAATCGGCAAACGGAAGTTTAATCTAAATCCCGCTTTCAGCCAGTCTTTGCACAGCTCTGCTTTGACGGTAACGCGCACACAGCCGGCGCGGCGCGCGATGCTTTGGGCATTCAGCGCGCGGCCGACGGAAATTTTTCACGGAGAAAAAGGAAACTCGAAGACCCTGAGACCCCGCTTTTCAGTCGACGTCGCTTCCTTCGTTAGCCAATTTTTCCCGGTCTCTGAAACACCCTGGAAAAATCACTAATCCGTCCTGTTCGTTGATACACCGTTGTAACTACCTGGTCCCGACATTATTTATCGTCGTACGAACGGCGAGGATTTAATCCTGTTAATACTCGTAATTGCGAGAGTTAGTTGCGCCGGACGCGAAACGAGTGAAAGACCATTTTCACTCGGCTGTCTTTCAGTAATAATTGTATACATTCCTCTATTCTATAGCAGCCATTTTCTCCGCATTAACTATAGAAAACGTACCGCCGCCACCGCTGAAAATCCAATGAATACTTTAAATGAATTTATTTCTTGCATTATGTTATATTATAAAATATTCAACCGCGCGCACGCCTCGTTCATTCGTCGCGTATAACGGCTCCCGGTTAGCCGTTAAAGTGTTTCGAAACTTTGCTCGGCATTGTAGCTTTATCCATATAGAATCGGCAGAAATATCATCGTGCATCTTACGGTCCATTGAACGAAACGCGTATTCGGCTCAGGCAGAAGTCATTTCACGTTCGCAGCCATTTCCCCGGGCCTCCGTTTCGCGCGTGCAAAGTGCGCCAGTTTAGCGGGCGAAGTCGTACACCCTCTCCGCGCGGAAACTCGATTCTCCATTCACGAATTTAATTTGGCGACGAAACGGGCACTGCAAAGAACCGAGGAGTTTCCTTGTGCAACCGTTGTTGCGGCCGTGAAAAACGGGCTTTTTCTAATTACGAGCCACCGGGTTCGGCCGCTCGCCGATCCCACCAATGGCCCCGATTTTAATTAATCGGACGCCAGACTTGTAAACCAGCCCGGCAACATTCTCCAGCTGCTTCGATCCGCCCCTTCCACCGGTCCTTCAATCGATCTATGTTTCATTTCGCGAGCCCGTGAGAGATTTTATCGACGAAACGGTTTTCCCGGCGATTTCAGCTGGACATTAATCAGTCCCGGATTGCAGTTCCCTTCGGTGTTTCTGTGTTTCGCGAGCCGGTCGATACCTGAAAACCATTCGTAAAGCGTCGAATCTTTCCCGGGATTCGATATCGCTAAGTTTCTTTTATGCTCTAACGTATGCCGTCCAACTTCCGCCCGGCATTTCTACTTAGAAAGTTCAAATATTCGAAGTTACAGCCGCAAGTTCAAAAGCGGATTTGCCGAATGAATCATAAGTCGAGCTAGATTTGATAAGAGTTTTCGAAAACTCCGTCCTCGGAAACTGGGTCTCCCACTCGAAAATCCGGAAACTTCGGATTCGGAATTAATTCCGTTACCAGGGTTTGTCGCTATCTGCAACATCCACCACTCCCTTCCGCCGCTTCTTCGCAATTAACGTCGCCGACCGTCCTCCGTGGCCGCGGTTTCCTTTTTCAATCCGGCTTTAAGCAAGTCCTTCTCTTTCTCCCTCTCTCTCTCTCTCTCCGTTTTCCTTCCCTTATCTCGGTAATTTCCGACGGAGGGGGTGTGGTCGCGCGCCACGCGTTTTCCAGGAAATCGTAACGTTATCGTCGATGATAACCGGGACATCCGCGGCGAACCGAAACTCCCGACGGAAACGCGGAGTTCTAACGTGACACACAACCGCCGATCGTGTTCCCCCGTAATTTTACAATTTCCCCTCGCGCATCCGGTTTCCTGTACGAACCGATGCGCGCAAGATTTACCGCGTAATATACACCGCCGTTTGCACCGTAATAATGATCCCCGGTTTCTAGGGAAATTCATCTGATGCTGCATTCACAGTCAGAGTGTATTTTTTTCCTTGGAATTCCACGAGGAAAATCGGTGGATATTTTTTCGATCTTTGATGAGTGTATTTGGGATACTTCCTCTATTTTGATGATGAGAAAAACTTCGAAGAGCTTTCTTTTCTAGATTATTTTGCCTTGGAGTATTTTGGAAAGTTGCCAAACGTTTCTGATGTCTGAGCAGTTGGAGAATTCTTTTCCTACTTTGGTGGAATGATTTTTGGAAAATTTCAAATATTTTTTTATTAATAAGACAAATTTTTGTATTATTGTTCTTTATAGATTCGGATGCAATATCAATGATTCAGTTTGATATTGAAAATTCATTGAAGAAAAATGACTTTGAAATAAGATGTCAACGTTATTATTTTCATAATTGAATAAGAAGATTTTGTAAAAAGGGTAGATACAGAACGAGCTTATGTGAAAACTTTCCTTGTTTCTGCTGGTTTTACCATAATCATTATTGCCAAGCGACAAAGCAAAGAATTTAGCCTCAGGCTGCCGAGAATTAAAGACTTTCCATGGGAGGGAAGGGTAATTAGACGGAAAATAACCCAGCCACCGCTCTATAAAAATTCGCGGTAACGATTTCTCAGGGAAAGTACGCCCTCCGGCATATTAGACGCGAAAACGGCGCAGCCGCCCCTTCGAAAAATCCTGGGGAGTCTTGAACAACTTATTCCTTCTGCTCTCTCCCCCCTCTTCAGCCAATTTCAACTTATTCGATTTCGGAATTGGCATCGAGCTGCCGGATAAAAATTACTTTCCCATCCTTAAGCGATGAAAATCCCGTCGACGGCAAGGATCGACGAAAAAGAGCCGACGATTCGTCTAAAATAATTTTTTCCTCCTTAAACGATCGCACACTTTCCCCGAGAGTTGGAAATCATTTTCTTTCGAGCGGGGAACGTCAAGAAAAGTCGAAAAGCAAATCGTTGGTTTTCTTGGTAATCCCGGCTCCGGTAATTCCGTGCAGCGACAGCACGAACATAACGGTATTAAAATTTCATACGCGAATCCGCGGAGCTTATAAAACTTCGGCTCCCGGCCCCGACAAGCGCGTAACTTTTTCATATTTCATTAAAACCATTCTCGCGGCTTCGAATTACATTCCTTCCTCCCGATTCGCTTTCGGCGAAGCAGCCGGCTAATCTTCCCTCTGCACGATACACAGGGTTTATCGAGGAACTAATTATCCGTCGAGCGGCGATATTTCTTTAATTAAGCCCCGCTCCGCGATGAAAAATGCGACTTGCACCGGACGGGGAGACATTAGGGCGGAAACGTATGAAGAATGGGATTCAAAGGCGAACGCGCGGCAAGAGTGGTGCGGCTCTGTGAGGCAACAACGCGATGCATCATCGTTAGTTATAAAATATGCGCGATGTGGGTTAACGACCGTCCTTCTGATTAAATAACAGACAACTCGTGGCCTCCATTCGCGGATGCCATTGCTCTCGAGGGTTCTTCAACCCTCGCGACCCGCGCGTTACACCTTCTCTTTCACGGGGCGGAGCCATTCAGTGGGGGGAAACTTCATTACGACTTCTAAGACGTACCTGAGGGTAGTCGCCGAATTTCGTTTGGTAATCGAACACATAGAGGTAAGAATTTCGGTGGGATTGACTGTGAAGGTCCGCGGTCCTCGTAGCTGGCGCCACTGTGTTCGCATCGCCCAAGGCTTCCAGCGTTTCGTCCCTGGAAAATTGGAAAGATATCTTTCTAGATGGTGTCGGAAATTGAAGCTTGAATTCTATTATTATCGCGAGCGTCGGGGAACGAGATCGACACTTCCAGAGGGTGAATAAACTCGAGATTAAATCATTTATTTCGATAAATAAACGAGCTCTTCGTATGAACACCGAAGAAATCAAAAACACCGATATTCGAACATAAATTTCGAAACGGAGATGTAAAAGAAATCTATATTGAAGATATAAAAACTATCAGCAGTGAAGCGTAAAAAGTATCAATATTAAAGGGATAAAAAGTATCAGCACTAAGTCATAAAAAATATCAATACCGAGGACATTAATAATATCAATATTGAGACATAAAAAATATTATTGTCGTAGGTATCGAAAATATCAATATTGGAGCATAAAAAATATCAACACTGAGGACATAAAAAATGTCAGTATCGAAGATATCAGTGACAATGAATAATATTGTTTTCAACGTTCCGTGAAACGGGAACAATGTTTATATTTTCGAACCGATGGGATCGAGAAGTCCAGGCTTACTTTATGTTCACCGGATGCTGCACCGGTCGCTCCCAGTCCGTGTACTCGTTGATGATTGTTGCCAATATCTCAGCTTGATGATACGTGTACGTGTTGCGAACGAACTCCCTGAGAATTTTCGTCCTCCTGTCGTCCTCGATGCCGTACTGCGCATCGTGGGCAGTCAAAGAGAAGTACGCTTCCGATCGTACCACACCGATCATCAGATCGTACCTGAGGAAACCGAGATTTTGCATCGAACACGTTGTTCGCTATCTTTGAGCATCTAAACACGTCAAACGAGAACCCGCTTCGCAAACAGTTCTAGATTTCTGTTTCGGAATATCGACATTTTCAATCAATAATTCGATCGGGGCTTATACCGTTAATAATACCCCGTTGACAGATGGAGGCAAAGCAACCGATGCTCATCATGGTTAACTTGGCTCGTGTTTGAGTATGGAATTTGGAGTTGGGACCATAGAGCAAATATGCTGTGCGGACGCGGCTAATGTTTCATAAATATTCAATGGTAAATAGCACTTCGTTAATATTAACCGGTATCGCATATACCCGTTAATTATTTGTGGATACAGAAAACCTTTTAAAACACCACGGTTGATTTCGGAATATCCATAATCGTTCAATGGTATATTCTACGGTATAATGAAATTGACAGGATTAATAAATGAACAACTCGATACTTATGAATATTTCATAACCTATATTTCATTATTATTTCACGATTTAAATGTGCCTGAAATTCATTCTATCCATATATATATCAATTTGAAAAAAGACATCCTGTCTTCTATCTCATCCAATCTAATCGATTCTAATCTTAATCAATTCAGCGTCTCCCCTTTTCCAAGTCACGATTCCCAAAGAAAGAACGTTCCTCAATGGTCTCGTCCTAACTCATCGAATGAAGCTCAACATCTCCAGTTCCCTCGCGAACACTTTCTCCCACACCATCCGACGAATGGTCGAACCGTCCTCCGCGTCGAATCGTTTAATACGTCGCGCCGGTTGAATCACTTTCGCAAACTGGTGGGATCAGTGTCTCGAAAACAGGGGCGGCAGCGAGGGGAAAAAACACTGAAAGGGAACAAGAGAAGGAGAGGACGAGCTCTCGCCAGCGCCGCTCGTTTCTGGCAACGGGAAGAACCGGGGCCGGGGAAGCACGACAAAAACGCAGTAATTAAAAGTAGTATATCCGGCGCGTGGGGTGGGGGCGGACCGCGAGAGAGTGCGGCGGCGAGAACGATCGCGGCGGGGGCGAAATGGAAAGGAAGAGGACAAAGAAGGAAAGGGAGGGAGAAAGGTGTGCGGG